GAATGTGAGCCTGAAACATCAGAGAGCGAGCAACATTAAGTATATGTTGATGCTTTCTCTCCACCACCGAATTTTGCTCTGGTGTTTCAGGGCACGAATGATACGAGATTATACCCTTTTGCCTGAACAGAGAAGTGAACTTCAGCTCAGGAGCATTATCAGAACGAACGCCCTTAACAACTGCCTTGTATTGAGTCTCCACCATCTTCAGAAAATCTGGAAACACAGTTAAAACTTCATCTTTCGTTCGCATTAGATAAAGCCAGGTGACACGAGTATGGTCATCCACAATGGTAAGGAAATATCTGTAACCCTCAGCAGTAGGTACAGAGAAAGGACCCCATGTGTCTATGTGTAAAAGTTCAAAAGGAAGGTCACAAAGATGATTCTTGGAAATAAAGGAAAGATGCTTTTGCTTTGCAAGAGGACAAATAGCACAATGATTTTCTTTATTCCTTTGTTTGAGACCAAGTACATCCTTTAGAAAATTTGTTTTACACATAGCGGGATGACCTAATCTATTGTGCCAGATAACTGAATCAACCACAACATGTCACTACAAAAAAGAAGGGATTTTACGTCAGTTTTTATTTAGCTTAACGTCATTTATAAACTGACTTTAAAAACTTGACGTCATTTACTAAAGTGTCATAACATTCGCCGACGTTAACTTTGTGTGCATCATTTTAAAAACAGACGTTAAGTTTAGCGTTATTTTTTTATATATTTTAGCGTCAGTTTAAAAAACCTCATTTTTAGCGTCAGTTACGTAAATTGTTTTTGCATTATTATTAAATATCAATTTCTCACTAAATTAATTGCAATTAGGATTTAGGAAATACTAAAAACAAAAATAACTCATAACAATTATTAAATTAATAATCATCCATCTCGACACAACAAAAAGTATTCACTTAATTTTATGTTTTCACACTCATGAATACATATGAAAATCCATAATTTTATCAGTTTCGCTATAAACATTCTTCATAGCTTATCTTTCTGCATTTCCCCATCGTCTTTAGCGTCTTCTACTGTTTTTTCTTGGAATCGGACTCGTTACAGAGATTACCTATAAAGAAACACCAAAAGTTGGCTCTCTTAAGACTAATTAACGATGAACATTTCACAAGAGATATGATGAAAGAAGAGGGCATTATCAATCAAAGATTAATAAAGAAACACTTACTTTTGACGACCTTGAACAGCTTCAAAATGTGTTCACTGGTCAAAAGGAAACAAGCATCAAGTGAACCAGTGACTTGAACTTAAAAGTCAAGCTCAAGCTTTCTGTTTCAATTTTACTTGATTATCTTCTCTTAAAGATGAAACAAAACCAAGAAAGAATTTAAGAAACAAAATATATGAGAGGAAGAATACGAACCATCCTTGAAATTGGACTACCGCTTTAAACTTCTTGAATATACGGTCCCTGTTACTTTTTTGATTCTTTATTTTGCATAACTTGCTCTTACTCCATCATGAGCACACAAGATCCAGTTAAAGGCTTTTCCAAAATGTGTCATAAACAAACGAAGATCTTTAGTCATCGTGTCACAGTTTGACACTTTTCAAATAACGAGAATGCATAACAAAACACGATTTCCAAGCATACATTAAATGTCAAGAAAAACAAGCATCCATTAAGCTAACCTGGAATTCTTGGAAGCAGATGAATCATGTACAGATAGAGAAGAAAGTCCAAGCAATCTGAAATATTGGAACTATGAGAATTGCATCATAAATAGATAATCATTCATTTAATCTTGTCATCTGCAACATAAGTACACAAAATACATTTTAACTTTAGTAACTTCATCGTCTCAATGGCACAACAAAATAGACAAAAAAAAAATTCAATAGCTTTACAGATTTACCCAGAATCCAGTTGTACTAAGAAGTTAAAGAAACATAGAGCATGAGAACTAGCTGTGCAATTGATAGCTACTAGACATGGCCAATCTCAGCAAGTTTGAGCTGCAAAATGAAACTCAAAATTAGCACTAGAAGCCATGTGCATAGCTTATCAGCTTATTCAAGTAAAGCTACCAGATTTACAAACTCACAGTCACTTTGGCGGATAAAACTAAACATGGTCATATAGCGCCAGAGACGACCAGAGCATATGAGAAAGGAAGCAAATCATTCCAGACTACAATTTCAGATCGAAGACTCACCTGTAGAGGAAATGGTTTACGGCTACGATTAACATCAAATTGCGTCGCCTCCAGATCTGAGATTTGTCACCAAAAACCTTACATAATTATTCACAAATCACACAATCTTAGCTTAAATTCTCAATTGAAGCTATTATCAGGTTAATCAATTGGAAACAGAACAAAACCCTATGAAAATTCTACTTTACTAACCATCATCTTCGAGTTCAAGGAATTTGAAGGAGACAAACAAATTCTCAAACGAAGATTCAGAGTAGAAATTGTGTTCCTCGGATCCAAATCCAATCCAATAGAGGAAAACGCTCTCAAAGGAATTAGGGATGCAAGGTCACGAAGAAGATGATACGGATTCTCAAACGGAGATTCAAATGTGAATCGTAAAAGGAAACCTAATTGATTTCGAAAGAGAAACTCAGCGACGATGAATCAGAAAATAATTTAATTAATTTTTGTTTTAATGACATTAGTAAAAAGGACGGGATTTTACGTCATTTGAACTTTTGACGTTAAATTACTTCATTGTCTAAGATTTAACGTCGGTTTTGAAAATGACTTTATTAAACTGACGTTATCCACCGTATTTCTTGTAGTGTGTGAGCAAATGTATGAAGAAGAAGCTATATCATCTGTAAAAGTTGTGGTATCCAGAACATATAAGTTTGAAATCTCTTCACCCTGACCAATCATCAGCCCCTTGGTATGATCATGTATCATACAAGAAGTTGCGTCAAAAACCACACGAAAACCCAAATCCTTTGTCAACTGACTTATACTGAGAAGGTTCAATCTGAAATCAGGTATATACAGGACATTCTTCAAAACCAAGGCCTCATTCAATTTCACAGTACCAATACCAGCAATTTTCACTCCAATACCAGTAGGTAACGTGACAGCTCTATTCAAAGAATCAGAGAGATTCATGAACAAGGTTTTATCATGACAGACATGATGAGTGGCTCCGCTATCTATAATCCACGACTGGGATGATAAGGCGGACCCTATGGCTCCCAAGGCTCCAACAAAACAAAGAGTAGAGGAAGAGAAAGCCATACCGGGAAGGGAAGTGATAGTGCCACCAGAACTCGGAGAAGCTGCAACAGGCTGAGGAGAGACTTGCAGCTGAGAGTTGAAATAAGCAATCACCCCTTGAATCTGATCCTTTGAAAGAGTATTAATAATCTCAGGTAAGTTGTTATCATTTGAGCCGGCAGGAGACATAGCAAGCTGAGCAACAACAGGCTTATTTTGATTATTCTGAGGTTTGGATGCAGAGAATCCCTGTTTATCCGATTGTTGCTTCGATTTGTGCTTGAAACCAATAGGATATCCATGAATCTTGTAACACGTCTCAACTGTGTGACCATTGTAACCACAGTGTGAACAAATAGGACGATTTGGATTGTTCCTGTATGGAGCTGAAGCAGCATTAACGGAGGGAGATGAATCGGAGACAGTCACGTTGAATGCAGAGGCATTCGGAACCGGATTGAAAGAACATTGACTGTGATCCTAATCGAGTAAGTTATACACCTCAAAGAGCTCATGGATGTGTTTCTTCATGATGATTTGGCTACGGATTACGCCATAACTATCATTCAATCCTGCTAAGAATTTGATAACCTTAGCATGAACGGATTTCTTCGAGGTGGATTTGCAACAATCACAGTTACCACAAGTTGTCACACAATCAGCCCCATCAAGTTCATCCAAAGCGTCTTCAATTTGGTGTAGTAGGTAGCTAGATCTGTAGATCCTTGCTGCAGAGACCAAATTTGCTGAGATAGTTGATAAGATCTCGGAAGGTTCGTGATATGGAACCTGGTAAACAGATCCTTCCAAATTTCAGAGGCATCGTTGAAACGGAGGATGCTCTTGTAGATCTGCTTCGAAACGGAATTGAGAAGCCACGATTTCACCATAGAGTTACATCTACACCAGATTCTGTAGTGACGATGGGTTTCAATAGGCCGAGAGAGAGAGCCATCAACGAATGCGATTTTATTCTTAGCTTCGAGAGCAATAGTTAACGCAATACGCCAGTTATCGAAATTTGAACCATCAAGGACCTCGGAGATGAGGGAAATACCGGGATTATCACCGCTGGTGAGATGAAATGGTGAATGAATGCTGTCGATCGATTCCGTGAATAGATCGGGAAGGATCGGAGTTCGTTGAGGAGAATTTGGAGGCGAGTCTTCGGGAATAGAAGATCGTCGAGCTGGAGCTGAGGTTCGTGAACCACGGCGAATAACTTTGCGTCCGACCACCATTATTGTAGATCTGGAGCTAAAAACGAAGAAGAGAGGTGGAATTAGTGGTTATTTGGCGGAATGACCAAAAACCTTCCACAGAAAAAATCAACCGGGAGAATCACCGATCGATTAAGGTCAATGAAAAGAAGAGAAGAAAAACGGAGGAATCGAAGGATCGAGTGAGCGTTTCAGCTCACGCTCTGATACCATATTAGAGAAAAGATAGAATCGGAGAAGATGAGCTAAAGACGGAAAATAATTTCTGTTGTATTCATTTACTGTTACAACGGCACACTTATATAAAAGATTGATTCCGGTTTAGTCACAACATAATGACCCAGTTTACATTAATTCCAAATCATAATCTAATACCTTCAATTACCGTCTTTGAGTATAAAAACCTCCACCCACATCCCCTTTCTCTCATCTCCGCATTTGTTTGGCCTCCCTCGCCAACCGTCGCTATCGTTCACGGCAAGTCTCTCGATTCCTCCTCCCTCGCACCTCTCTCATTCCCGGCGTCAATGTCTTCCATTCTCAGGTACACCCCTCCCTGAAAATCTCGTGCTTTTGCTGAATTGAATCAATTTGAAATCAATTTCATGAATTGAAATTTGCTTATATAAGATGCTGTTGGAATTCTAGCGAAGCTATCAGATTGTATTGCAGCAAAAGGCGGTAACATTCATGGCTACGATGTTTTCGTTCCCGAGAACAACACCCTCTTCTACTCTCGGAGGTATATATTGAGTAACCTTCTGTAGCAATGCATTGAGAGTGAATGGTAATTGAGTGAAGGATTTTGTTTTGGTGTTTACTTGTTCATAGTGAGTTTATGTTTGATCCGGTGAAATGGCCGAGAAACCAAGTGATGAAGATTTTCGTCGCATTGCGGAAACATACGGTGCCATGAACTCGGTTGTGCGTGTGGCTTCTATAGATCCCAAGTACAAGATAGCTCTTCTTCTTTCTAATCAGGTATTCAAATCTCCTTTTACATTTCTCTAAATATTTATATTTCCTGCTGAAGAAGTATGTGATGTGACTCTATCTAATATCTTTCTATACATACAGGATCATTGTCTAATTGAAATTTTGCATAAATGGCAAAACGGAAAACTCCCTGTGGATATAACATGTGTTATAAGGTGATCAGCTAATACACGTCAAGTGATTCAGATGGTTTATACTGCTGAGAAATTTTTGTTTTTTTTTTGTTTATAGTAATCATGAAAGAGCTTCAAACACTCCTGAACTTTCATGAATCATTCCAACAAGTTTGGTTCTCTTCATTGGTTTTTTTCTTATTACGTTCTTTGAAGCTCAAAGGCAGAAAATGCTCAAAGGTGACATGTTAAGTACATGAGTTCTTCTCCCCCGAGTAAGTTATGAAATGTATTACTGTTTCTCAAAGGTAATCTTTCTTATTACTGATTTTCCTTCTCTGCATTTCCTCTCTCTTTCTTCTCTCATTAACTGTTTTTTGACTCTCATGTGTTTCAGAATTTGTCTTAGCAGAAGGATTCTTACTTCAGTTTGGTATTTGCTTTACAAAACCAACGAGAATACCACAGAAAATGCAAAAAATTAAGTGTTAACTAATTATCTATCTCTTTCGAGTATGCCTAATGGTGTTGATTGGTGCTTTAAATGTCTATTAACCATCTATGAGAAAATTCAAAAGCAAAAATGCAGGTTTTCCTCTTCGTTACTCATACCCTCTGTTAGTGCTTTTTCAAAAATTAAAAACCACATAATGTGTATATACGTTGTTTTAGATATAGAGATAATACGAAAAAAAAGACTCTGAATTCCATAATTGTAGGCATGCAGACGCACATTTTTTCTTCCTACAGTATGTTGTATTTAAAAAGAGACTTTAACATGTTTCTCCTATCTTTGTTTTATCTTTGTTTTTTTCAGCTAAGGAGATCGTGACAAGTTAATATATGAGGTTAATATACCCCTACACATATTCATCTTTAAAAATAATCAAAATAAGGGTGATGGTTGTGCTGCAAAAATTGAAACGAGGCATTACAAAAGAAAAGAGAAGATCGAAAAAGTATGACCAATAAAATATTCATGGAAGAGTAATTGCATCCACCGGAGCACTAGAAGGATAATTGAGGTATTCTCTGTTCTATCATGGAAGAGTTTGATTAAGAAAATGACGATATATGAATCTTTCCAAATGTAATGTAGTTTCCAAGACAAAAGATAATAACAGTGACAACATTAGTGACAACATTATGTAACTCAACGTCTTACACTCTTGTCCTCTTGACATTCTTGTGCTTTTTTGAAGAGTTTGATTAAGAAAATGACGATATATGAATCTTTCCAAATGTAATGTAGTTTCCAAGACAAAATATAATAACAGTGACAACATTATGTAACTCAACGTCTTACACTCTTGTCCTCTTGACATTCTTGTGCTTTTTTGTAAAGTCGTAGTTAATTAAATATTGCAATTTCAAACTGGACAGTATTTTTGCTAATGTTACAAAAGTTTTTTTTTTTTTTTTTGACAAATGAAATTAGGATGGTACACAAATCTACTCCTAAAACACAAGTCTTTGTTCCAATATAAGTTTCTCGCATGTCTTTCAAATTAGAAACACTGACTACATATATACTGATATAATATTTAATTTCGTTGGGTTAGGACTTAGGACGGATCGTAAAGGATATTTTCAACTTCTTCTTATTAGTGTAATGTAATCAAAGTTAAACCAGTTACCTTTTAATTGCTTACTTAAAGTTCATCTTCTTTAGAAATTATATATGTCTGGTGAATGTATATTTCAATTTATTCAAGAACCGTTGCAGCAAAGAAATATTGATTAGTTAAAACCAGTGTTCTACAAGGTGGTCATAGCAGCCGCCTAGGCAGTTCTTGAAGCCACAAAATGTTACCATTGTTAGAGAGAAGAATAAAATTTAAGATAAAAAAAATATAAATTTTTATATAAAATACTAAACTCAAAAACAAAAACCCGCAATGCGCGGGTGCTCTCCTAGTGAAGCTGATATGGGGATACATTTGGTCCACCATCTTTGCAATAACGGCTTAGTGGAGGTGGAAGTGGCGTTGCGGGAATGTGTTTGGAACAACAGGCAAATGTCAAGATCAAGTGAAATTTATAAAAATATATGGCTATCAAAGTAGCCGCAGCACATGCCCGAACAAGAGACCAAGTGAGGGAGGGAAATAGAGTTGAACAACATATAGCATAAAGATTCTAGAGTGTATGGTGAAAGATTAACACGGATGGAGCATTTTGGGGAAATTTGGGTTTGGCTACGGCTGGTGGTGTGTTACGTGACAAGAGTGGCTGATGGGTCTGTGGGTTTGCTCTTAACATAAGTATATGTTCAGCTCCACTCGCAGAGCTATGTGGAGTGTAATACAGGCTCTACATAGCATGGGAGAGAAGAGTTATGAGATTGGAACTCGAGGTAGATTAAGAGATTGTGATGGGTTTTCTTCGTTCAGGGATTAGTGATTCTTACCCCCTCTGTCCTTCCTACTTCCTAGTATGTTTTTGCTATGACTTATTCTTTAGGGACTGGATAGTCCGGGTTATGCATGTTTACCGAGGCAAATCGAGTGGCCGATGGTCTCGTGAATTATGCTTTCTCGTTACCTTTAGGTTTTCATTTTACTTCTCCACCCGCTGAGGTTTCAGTGCTGATTATTGAGGACGCTAATGGCTCTACACGAGCTCGATTTGTAAGAGAATAATTTTTGTTTCAATAATATAAAAGGGGGGCTTGTGTCCCCTTTCATTACCAACAAAAGAAAACTTATTTTTAACTCTTTTCACATTTTGGAGCTATACTTCTAATGTCTCTATTTTCAAAATTATTGCATCTGTAAGTCAACCAGTCATAGGTATCTGCAACTACATTTGTTTTCAATTGTTATGTCAGTTGTACAAACTCCTTAATAACATTTTTTATCGCAATCACTCACTTCAGCAATTATATGGTACTTTTTTTCGACACATATTGTTGAAGCTGGATTTCACTCTATAAATCCGGCCCATAAAATGTTTAATGCCTAAATTTAAAGTCCTCAACTAATCTCATAAAATCCTAAAAAGAAGTATAAGACCATCAAGATCTTGTCTGAGTCTAGCTGAGTGTCGATTCAGCTACAAAGTTCAGTTCGAGCTCGAGAATAAATCAGGCCGATGAAAAGGAGAGAACAAGTCAATCAAAAATCGGGCATGAAGTCCAATTCGGTCCATTATTTGAGGAATCTGAAACTACACGAGGACGAGATACGAAGAGGAGCTTGTACCAACTTCATAGAATTTATAAAGAGAACATCGTGAGTTGGTAGAAGAAATCTTGATCATCATCACTTTCACTTGGAATAGAATGATAGAAACCTTGTAATCGTTTCCTCAAACTTATTTTTCATTTTTTTCTAGATATTTTATAACCAGTTCAGTTTTGTCAAATACTTTTCTATACAGTTTCCATTCTAGAGAATCTAAGAGCATGTCCAGCAGAGATCTGGTGGATCTCTTATAATTAAAGAAAAATGAAAAAGAAATAAAAAGAGGGGAAAGGAAGAGAGAGAACGTGAGACGTATGTTACTAAAGAGACTGTCTCAGCATTTTTCTATATTTTGCTGTAAAAAAGTCCATACTTTTTTTATAGGAGAATGGAGAGCTCTGACGGCGCTAGGGTTTTGGGAGACACGGATGCCACGATGATGGATATTCCGGGGAAGGGGCAACCGCCGGATGGGGCGGTCTCTTGGGCATCGATGGTGATGGGCACGAGCGCAGGAGGACGACCACACCCCGAGGATTTACTGACGGATGCGTTTGTTGTGGAGAGGCTAAGCGTTGAATTCCCGAATGGAGTGGAAGGGGAACCGGTAATCAAGATTGGTCAGGAGGTCTTAGAGGCGATGAACGGACTCTGGAAGCAGTGTATGATCGTCAAAGTTCTGAGGAGGACGGTCCCGATTTTCGTGCTAACGAAGAAACTGCGGGAGTTGTGGAAACCAAAGGGAGTTATGACGGTTTTAGATCTCCCTCGAGGTTTTTTCATGGTGAGGTTTGGAGAGGAGGATGAATACATGGCCGCGTTGACGGGGGGTCCATGGAAAGCTTTTGGCAGCTACTTATTGGTGCAGGCGTGGTCGCCGGGATTTGACCCCTTGAGAGATGAGATTCTGACGACACCGGTTTGGGTCCGGCTATCGTACTTACCAGTCAACTTCTATCACAGGTCTATCTTGATGGGGATCGCTAAGGGTCTCGGGAAACCGTTGCGAGTCGATCAGACGACTTTGAACGTGGAAAGAGCTAGGTTTGCGAGGGTTTGTGTGGAAGTGAACTTGGGACAACCGCTGAAAGGGTCTGTGATGATGATATCACCATATTTTACATGATTTTACTATATAATTACTTATGTTTTCAAACGGTTTTTGCAAGATTATTTGCCTTTAGAGGTAGTTTTCTTGTATTTGTGGGATTTGAAGTCTTTGTAGGAGAAATAATCAAAAAGGATGCAAAAAGGAGTAAAAGAGCCCTAAACCAAGATCCATGCAAGTTTCCAAGTCAAGAAGATCATTTTATCTCCAAGTGTTAGTTCTCGCTTGCGCGCAGAACGAAGCTTCGGAAGTTTGGCCGCGCGCGGAGGAGTTTCCGACGTCCAAAAGTTACGATCTTGATATGGAAAGATAGATACTTGAATCATGCATCACGTCGAAGTGGAATGAAGCCATTTGGATCAACTATGAGGCCTAGACTTATTTTCTACCGAGACATGTCCGGTAAGCGAGCAAACGAAGCCCATGGAGGACTAGCTCACATGTCCTTCACACCTCTTGATTTATTTCAAGACTAGCTCATCTCATCTTTCACTTTTCTTTGTTTTTGTTTTTCATAAAATCTTAAAAACCCATAAAAATTTTACTTAACTCTCTCTCTTTGTGTGTTTCTAAGGTGCATGACAAGAAGGTCCAATCCAAATACAACCATTGAAGAAGATCTTGACATTGACCAACTTGAGCGCACACTTAGGCGACTAAGGAGAGAAAGAATGAATCCAGGCGGAGAAGGCGCGCCAAATAGGCCAAACAACCCGCCCGACCAAGAGAGGAGAGCCAATGATCCTCCTAATCCAGCAGAAGCTAGAGCTGACCAGCCAGCACCGGCCAGAGACGTTCCTCCACCCAATCCGAACGCGCCCGATGCAGCTGAGCCGCTACAGCCACCTCTTAACCCGCCGCGACCACCACCGGCGTTTGCAAATGGACATCATCGTCACGGTGACAACCAAGGGATGCCTCAAGACCAACCTCACGCACCTCCAAGGAGAGTGCCAAACGCGCAGCATCCAAGGCACCAAACTATGGGAGACTTTGATTCGTCCGATGCTTTCTTTATGGATCGGAATCCAATCCGACCGCCTCTACCTCCAAGGAACGATTTTGAGATCAAACCGCAGATCATTGCCTTGGTGAAGCAAAACCAATTCCATGGTTTGCCCACTGAGCATCCTCTTGATCACGTCGACACCTTTGAGGAGATATGTAGCACAACTCGTGTTAATGGAGTATCGCCGGATTACTTCAAGTGCAAGCTATTCACTTTTTCTCTAAGTGACAAGGCGCTAAGATGGGTAAAATCTTTACCACCTCAGTCCATTACAACATGGAATGAATACAAGGGAGCTTTCTTGAACCAATTCTACACTAAGCAAAGATCCAACTCTATAAGGAGCAAGATTTCTGGTTTCAAGCAAGATTCAATGGAGTCATTCTATGAAGCTTTGGAGAGATTCAAGGAGTACACAAGAAGCTGCCCTAACCATGGCTTTTCAGAAGGTAACCTTTGGAACATCTTTTACAATGGGATTGATCATAAATACAAGCTTTCTCTCGATACCGCGAGCAATGGTAATTTCATGACCAAGTCGGTGCCGGAGGCAAAGCTTTTGATTGAGAATCTCGCTGCTAGTGATGCCAATGCATGCCCTGACTACAATAGAAGCGTGAAGACCACGAGCTCATCAGAATCAGCTCAAATCTCGGAGCTAAGGAACATGGTTTCACAACTACTTAAAAGCCGACAAGGAGTTCACGCCATTGAAGATGCCCTAGCCACAAATGAAGACACTCTTATGGATTTCATGAGAGATGGCGCTGAAGAGAATCTAGAGGAAGTCAACTACATTGGAGGAAACTATGGGAATAGAGGATTCAATCCACCATTTCGCGCGCATCCAAACCTATCATACCGGAGCAACAATGTGGAGAATCCAAATGACCAAGTCTACCCCAATCAAGGAGCGTATCAAGGAGGCCAATACCAATCCAAGCCACAACAAGTCTATCCAAGAGGGATGTACCAAGTGAAGCAACCATTCACTTTTTCTCAAGAAACAAATCCAACCCAAACCGGAGAGAAGGTTGACGTGGCGTTGAAGAAATACATGGAGGAGCAGAGATTGATCACCAAGAACCTATATGAGAAGCTTGATCACATGTTTGGTGATCTAAGCAGCAAGTTTGGGTCTCTCTCTACTCACGTTCAAAAGCTTGAGGTGCAAATCGCTCAAACAGCCGAGGCGGCCAAGAAACAAAATGAGGTAAACACTCAAAAATTTTGTAGTGTTGTCTCATCTATAGATGGCACAATTGTTCCTACACTATCTCAAGGGGAAGAAGAAGAAAATGAGCCTAAGGAGAGGCACAAACCGGAGAGATACAGTTGGGAATCAAGAAGAGCTTACAAGAGAAGACTTGAAGGCAAGCCACTACAAAAACAAGAAGATCCGGGGAAGTTTGTGATAACTTCAAGTATCAATGGCATTCAACTCCACGATTGCCTATGTGATACTGGTGCTAATGTTAATCTAATGTCTCTTGCACTTGCAAAAGATTTGGGATTCAAGGAATTCAAGAGCCCCAAGATAAGAGTCGAGTTCGCGGATCTATCGTGCATGGAACCTATGGAATGCTTGAAGATGTCATGATGGAAATAGGGGGTCGATCGGTCCCAACTGACTTTCAAGTCATGATTTGGGAAGGCTCAAAGAGGAATCAACTGATTCTTGGAACCCCATTCCTTGCTACAGCTGGAGCGGTCCTAAACTACTTTGGGAATCATCTATCTTTTGGCCACATCCGGCAAGATATCTTTTTCCCAAGTGTAAATTTCAGGTCAGTGCCAAGTGCGACCAAGCTACCACCAGAAGAAGCCACTCTCATTACCTAAGAAAGAAGCTATGCTGCATGGAGAAAGAAGAGAGAGTGAGCGCTACCCAAAACCAAAGGAGAAGAAGAAAACATTGGAGCCGAGGCATGAAAATGTCTTTAAGGAATCAACTCCATCTCACTTCCAACCTTTGATGAATATGGAGCTGAAGAGGAGACTAATGGTGCACCTAATCTCTTTCACAAGATAAGAATCTTTACACCAAAAGATTCGGAGCTTAAAGGTGACCAATCCATTGAAGAGAAGCTTGAGAGAACTATGAAGCTTTTCCCCAAGGCATTGGTTTTCAAAGATGATGTGAGAGATGACTATGGCGCGACAACACCACCACAAGAATCCACTACACCGGAGAATGGAGAAGCTAAAGGGATCCTTTGCCCTTCAGCCACTCTTCACCACGATTGAAAGAAAGAAAAGGAGTCAAGCTAAATGACTTAAAACAAAAGCGCTTTATGGGAGGCAACCCATATGGTTTTTAACTATCTATTTCTATTTTGCAGGAGTTTTTCAAAAATCAAACAAAAATACAAAAATATTTTCTTAGGATGAAGACCCAAAGGAGACCAAACAATGAAGTGTCCCACCCAATGAGCCCACCCTTGTACAAGGCGTTTCTCTTCCAAAAGGTAAGTAAACTTCACCTAGTATTCATTTCTAATCACTCTTGATCTTCACTTGAAAAATCGTTTAAACCATTGCACTTTATCAAATATATTTCATGGTTTAACTTGATTTACTTTTGATGATTGGAAAGAATACATAATCACTTGTCAAAACTCATTTTGCTCACTGAAATTACAAGAGATTGAACTATAGTTTGAAATTTGGATCATTGACCAAGACCAAATAAGAATTTATAGTTTGTGCTTTAATCTCTTGGATTGTGAACTTCAAGTTGGTCACTTGAGGATCACAATCTGAGAAACCATCTAATCATGATTTCAAGTGTTTTGCAAGGAGTTAACCATTTGACAGGAAGGAGAAATAAGCAAACCTATCAACCACCTAAAACCAACATGCATATGGCGGCCAAAGGGAGGTTAAAAGGAGATACATAGGCCATCACACGAAACAAGGCGGCCACCACTTGGGAATGACACAGGAGGGTTATTAAAACAATTCGGTCGAAGAAAATCTCAATTGGCCCGAGTGGATTTGAAGAAATTCAATCCGGACATTTCTCTCGGCCATACCGCGCACAAGGAGCCAAATTACGGCCAACTCCTAAACGGCGTGACCAAAGTCCACCAAACTTCACAGGCGACCATAAAATCACATTTTGGTCGGCAAATCCAAAAGATAGGACGGAGAAATCATCACGGATCATGAGATAGACGACGGAGCCATTCTGGCCGATGGCGCGCAAGCAATATGGCCGACAAAACCAAATCACGGCATAGGCGCGCCAACCGGTTGGAAAACTCTTCTTTGAGCTTAACTAACACTTTTATGCAGGAAGAAACGAAAAGGAACGAGCCAAACTTCACATGGCCAAGGAAACTCCTTCCCGGAGCCGACTTGACCATTTTGTGAAGGAAGTCTCAATCCGCTCGTACAAATGCTCCCAAACTTCACCAGAGGCTATAAAATACCAGGTTGGTCGATGAAATTTCAATATAGGTCATGAAATTTTTGACGGTTTGTTCTGTAGTTCACAGCACCACATTTTGGCCGACCGAATATACCAATCTCGGCCAAAACACAAACCGGCGGAAACCAAGGCCTGAAATTAAAAACTCACCGACCAATATTGCCTAAAGAAGTGTAGAATGACCCAAACCAGAACTGATCTTCATTATAAATTGGTCGACATTTGGTAACATCATCCTAAACCTTTTTCTTTTCAATTTTTCATTTGAACTTCATGTTATGCCTCTCTTAATCCGATTTGATTTCACCGGGACGGTGCAAGTTAAGTCTGGGGGGATTACTAACAATGTTTGTTCATTTTGGCGTTTTCATTTGCATTTTTTCCCTTTTATCGAGTCGTTTTTATTGAGTCAAAATTTTTGTCGAGAATCATGACCTTATCTTGGATCTAACCATGTTGTACTAATGTTTAAGTGACCATTGAGCAGTTCTTGGCAATACATCTTACCACAGGTGCACTATGAGTTGATCGATCTACCAAAAACGCCTACATCTCTAAAGACTTGAGAAGGATCCATCTTTGACTCCGCCCTTAATGAACTTAATCTTCTCAGCTAGGGGCTTGGCATACAAATGGCATGATTCCTCATCCTCTCCATCAAATGAAAAAGTCTTAGTGAGTTCGTGCTTCCCTCTCTCTCCCCTTCAAATTTAAAGAAAAAGCGTAAGGTCCAAGTAACCGGGGATTCGGTGGCAAACACCATCAATACTCGCGTCTATGGAAGGCCTATGAATCCAAGCAACCGGGGATTCGGTGGCAAACACCATCAATACTCGCGTCTGTGGAAGATCCAAGCAAAACCTCTATAATAAAGAGAAGGAGTTGAATAAAAAAATACTTCGCTACCCTAAAAAAGGGATGAATCAACTCAAAGAAGTGAGAAGAGAGAGAGGAGAAACATGGAGTAAAAGACAAGTGCCAAACAAGGGGATGAGTAAAGAGTCTAAAAGCCGGCTGATCGATACTCCCTAGTTGAGACCACACCTTTAGAAATGAAAGGAGTCAAGGGTGGCGAATTGGATTGTCCAAGGAGAGGTGGACCGCTTTGGGAAAATCGCAAAACTCATGGTATGTACTTTGTTCTTAATTCAAAACTTGCCAATGCTGTTTCATGTGGATTACTAAAGCATAAGTCAATTTGGATTTCCAAAAGATTTGAGAGTTCTCACGTTTTCAAACCTCTTTTCCTGCTTAGTTTGCTTGGGGACAAGCAAAAGGCTAAGTCTGGGGGAGTTGATATCACCATATTTTACATGATTTTACTATATAATTACTATGTTTTCAAACGGTTTTTGCAAGATTCTTTGCCTTTAGAGGTAGTTTTCTTGTATTTGTGGGATTTGAAGTCTTTGTAGGTGAAATAATCAAAAAGGATGCAAAAAGGAGTAAAAGAGCCCTAAACCAAGATCCATGCAAGTTTCCAAGTCAAGAAGATCATTTTATCTCCAAGTGTTAGTTCTCGCTGCGCGCAGAACGAAGCTTCGGAAGTTTGGCCGCGCGCGGAGGAGTTCCCGACGTCCAAAAGTTACGATCTTGATATGGAAAGATAGATACTTGAGTCATGCATCACGTCGAAGTGGAATGAAGCCATTTGGATCAACTATGAGGCCTAGACTTATTTTCTACCGAGACATGTCCGGTAAGCGAGCAAACGAAGCCCATGGAGGATTTGGAGTGTCTAATGGCCCGAGCAGCAGCGCCAAAGGCCTTGATCGAATAGAGAAGAGGCCTGGCTAATGTTTGGAGCTCGCGGGAAACTTTCCTTTTCCGGCATGAAGAAAACCCTACGCGACTTCGCCCATATATACATGTTTTTAGCCGCTGAAGAAGGAATCGAGCCAGTCCAAAATTATCAAAGAGTGTACGTGTGAGAAGAGAGAGAAGAGAAGAGAAGCCCTAGGAGATCGTCCAAGAAGAAGGAGGCGCCGCTCAACTCTTGTTCTTTCTTTTTCATTGTTTCCATTTCTATAAACTTGATTTTAAGAGTTTTCAAGGGAGAATCCGACTTTGTTCATCAATAGAGAAGCTTTCTTCATCCCTTTATCTCTTTTAATACTTGCATAATGTTTACAATCATGCTTTGCTTGCTTGTTTGCATCATGGCCGAGTAGATCTCTTTCAAAACTAGTATTTGGTGAGCAATAGATCATAGCCAACGAAAGCTGAGTTATGGTTTATTGTGAACAATTGAATCTTGAACCTTTAATGCATGTTTGCAATTCTAATAGCCAACGAAAGCTGAGTATATTAGGTTGTTTTAAACATAGTGGTTGGAGCCACGACAGTGGAAAGACCATACACTAGTGATTCATGTTCAAGACGGCTCTACACACATCCCATGCAACTATCTTTTCATCATTGCTCCATATGATTGTCCTTTGCCTAACTCTTGTTTTAAATTGTTTACAAACTCATTCACATTTCCTTTGCTTTGTTTTCTCATTCTAGGTCCCAAAACCACCTCATATTGCGAGCTAGCTTAAGATCGATATCACAAGGTGTTAAGTGAGAACACTTCCTCCTCGTGTTCGACCCCGACTACAACACGGCTGTGCACTTGCAGCTCATTAGTTGGGTTTATAAATTGTGAAAATTTGAGGCAATCTAAACCCGCCATCAGATGATTAATGGTGAAAGATACTACGTCTCCTATGAAGGCCTCACGAACATTTGTTCGGGCTGTGGGATCTATGGGCATATGTTAGATTCATGTCCAAGCAGAGTTGTATCTAAACCGGTGGATAGTGCGATGACGAATCAGGGGATGGTGGCAGCGAGTCAGGGAGATGCAGAGGAGGGGTTTATCATGGCCAGGAAACCAAAACCAGTAGTACGGACCGCCGGACGTCCGGCAGCTTCAGTGACAGGGAACGGCCGGGAAGTGCCGCGTCGGGTGTTGAAGAAGATTCCGCAGCAAAAGGATTTAGGAAATATTTCCTTATCCAATGCTTTTGACAGATTGAGGGAGGATACAGAGGTGATTGAGTTCGGGAAAGGGAATATAATCAATGATGGGAATAAGGAAAATTCCTCTAAGTTGAGTGGGGCATTTAAGGGCAAGGAGATTGCTAAGAGCATTGATGGAAGTTTTGGTGGGGACCCGCGAGATTTGAATGGAGGTTTCAGAAGTGGAGCGGGAGAGAAGAAGTGGGGCCTAGTAAAAGTGGACTGAATAGAAGGACTCATAATGGGCCGCACCGGAAGCCCAGGACTCATCCACCAGCAAAGGGCCTTATTTTTGGCCCATTGGAGCAGGACATGGAAATGGCGACATCGGGGAAACGATCGAGAGTAGAGAGAGACGATTTGGGGAGATCTGAGAATCGTTTCGTGAGGAAAAATGGCGATGATGCGCCGGTGGAGATGGCAGGGCTGGCGGAGAATATCAGTCGGAACTCGAGTAGCTTCTCCTTGGGTATGGCGGCGATTCCGCCGTCAGTTGACTCAGTCGATGCGATTCCCTCGGCAGCTGGAGGGATGGAAGTAGTGAGGGATTAACAATCGTCCCCGGTAGTTCGTTGGTTTTCCTTGATGCTTATGATGAATTGCCTTTTTTGGAATTGCCTGGGGGCGAATAAACCCAACTTTAGGAGATATATTCGGTATATGTTGAAGCGACACACGACAGATGTTTTGGCGGTTTTCGAGACCCATGCGGGTGGAGACAGAGCAAGCACGATTTGTAGAGGTTTGGGGTCTGAGAACTCTTACAAAGTAGACGCGACTGGGCAAAGCGGCGGTTTGTGGTTCTTGTGGAGAACGGGGATAGGGGATGTGGTGATTGTCGATGCATCGGATCAATTCATCCACGCCCGAATCGCCAATGGAGAGGAGGTCTTGCATGTGATTGTAGTCTATGCAGCACCGTCGGTGAGCAGGAGAAGCGGTTTATGGGACGAGTTGCGGAGCGTGATCGGTGGTCTTGATGGGCCGGTTCTAATCGGTGGAGACTTCAATACCATCGTTAGGGTGGATGAGCGAGCTGGAGGGAACGGTCGTCTATCACCGGATTCTTTGGCCTTTGGAGAATGGATAAATGATCTTTCCTTGATTGACATGGGTTTTCGAGGGAACATGTTCACATGGAAACGAGGTAAGCTAGAGAGGAACTTTGTAGCTAAGCGATTGGATCGGGTTTTGTGTTGTGCACACACAAGATTGAAGTGGCAGGAGACAGTTGTCACACATCTCCCATTCCTTTCTTCGGATCATGCGCCGCTCTACGTTCAGCTATCGCCGGAGATTTTGAGAGATCCAAAACGGAGACCTTTTCGCTTTGAAGCGGCTTGGCTCAAGCATGAGGGCTTTCAAGACCTTGTGAAGGCCTCGTGGAAGGGTGAGCTGAGCACCAATAAGGCTCTGTCTGGACTACGGAACTCTGCTCCGGTGGAATAGACGTCTTTGGTGAGATTTCACAACGTAAGGAGTTACTGCTGAGGGAGATCAAGGATGTCCAGGAGGCATTGGAGGCAGGACCGTCAGATGCTTTGCTGGTACAGGAAGAGGAACTGATCACTGCACTCAATGTTGTGCTTGAGCAGGAGGAAATGGTGTGGTTCCAAAAATCACGAGAGAAGTGGATACCATTGGGGGATCGCAACACACGCTTTTTTCATACGTCCACGGTTATTAGACGGAGACGCAACCGTATAGAGATGTTACGCAATAGTGAGGGGAATTGGATCACGGATGGGAAGGAGATGGAGTCACTTGCAGTGGAGTATTTTCGACGACTCTATTCCATGGAAGATATTGATGCAGTGGTTGATAAACTGCCAACTGAAGGTTTTGAGCAGCTCACGGAGGGGGAGAGGGCTCATCTGCAGAAAGAGTTCTCTGCCTTGGAGATTGAGTCTGCTGTACGTAATATGGGGAAGTACAAAGCTCCGGGGCCAGACGGATACCAGCCGGTGTTCTATCAAAGTTGTTGGGACACAGTAGGGTCATCTGTGATCCGCTTTGTAATGGACTTCTTCACCACGGGGATACTTCCGCCGGAAACAAATGATGTACTGCTTGTATTGATTCCGAAGGTGGGCAAACCGGAAAGCATAACGCAGTTTTGGCCTATCAGTCTCTGCAATGTCCTGTTCAAAACAATCACGAAGGTTCTAGTGGGAAGGCTGAAGGTAGTAATCTCCAAACTGATAGGACCAGAGCAGGCGAGTTTTATACCCGGGAGATTAAGTACGGACAACATAGTTCTGGTCCAGGAGGCGGTACACTCGATGAGGCGGAAGAAAGGGCGCCAAGGATGGATGCTATTGAAATTGGACCTGGAGAAGGCCTACGATAGGATCCGATGGGATTTCTTGGAAGATACACTCACGGCGGCTGGCTTCTCGGAGTCTTGGATACAATGGATCATGAAGTGTGTCACGGGCCCAGTGATGAATCTCTTATGGAATGGAGAAAAGACAGAAGCTTTCACCCCAGCGCGAGGTCTCAGACAAGGTGACCCCATCTCTCCCTATCTTTTTGTTCTATGCATGGAGAGACTCTGCCATCTGATTGATAACTCGGTGAAGGATAAGGAGTGGAAGCCGATTAGTCTCTCACGAGGAGGGCCGAAACTATCGCACATCTGTTTCGCAGATGATTTGATCTTGTTTGCAGAATCGTCTGTCTCCCAAGTTCAGATCATCAAGAAAGTCTTTGAGACCTTTTGTAGCTCATCGGGGCAGAAAGTGAGCTTGGAGAAATCCAAAATATTTTTCTCTGGGAACGTATCTAGGGATTTGGAGAAGACTATCAGTGAGGCGAGTGGGATACAGTCGTTGCGAGACTTGGGTAAGTATTTGGGAATGCCGGTCCTGCAGAAACGGATGAACAAAGATACTTTTGGGGAGGTCCTTGCGAGAGTCTCTGCAAAATTAGCGGGATGGAAAAGCTGTGTACTGAGCATGGCCGGACGTTTGACACTCACGAAGGCGGTCTTATCATCGATACCGGTCCATTCGATGAGCTCAATAATGCTTCCTCAGTCAACGTTATCAGGTTTGGATAAGCTTTCAAGATCGTTCCTATGGGGAAGCAATTCGTAGAAGAAGAAGCAACATCTACTGTCTTGGAAGAAGGTGTGTCGGCCCAAGAGTGAGGGAGGCCTAGGGATCCGATCTTCAAAAGAGATGAATCTTGCTTTGGTTGCAAAAATTGGATGGAGGCTTTTGCAAGATGACCAGTCGTTGTGGGCGCGGGTGGTAAGGAAAAAGTATAAAGTAGGTGACTTGCATGATCGAAGTTGGCTAGCTCCGAAGGGTACATGGTCGGTGCTTTGGCGGGGTGTAGCGAGAGGCTTGAAGGAGGTCATATGGCCAGGTCACCGTTGGGTTATCGGGGATGGAGGTCAGATTAAGTTTTGGTTGGATTCTTGGCTCTTGGAGGAACCCCTGATACACAGAGCCACTGGGGATGTCCCGGAAGAGGCGCAGCGTTGGTTAGCAAAGGATGTTTGGAAGAATAGTGTGGGTTGGGATCTGACGACGATAAACCCCTATGTACCAGAGAATCTGAAGTTGGAACTAATGGCAGTGGTCTTGGATCATGTTACGGGGGCTATAGATCGGATATCTTGGAAGGGTAGCTCGAACGGAGAGTTCTCGGTGTCATCGGCTTATGCGTTAATCACGATGGATGAGCAACCCCGGCAGGACATGACGCGCTTTTTTGAACGGGTTTGGAGAGTGGTTGCTCCACAAAGGGTGCGTCTGTTTATTTGGCTTGCTAGTCACCAAGTCCTCATGACTAATGTGGAAAGGAGACGGCGACACTTGAGTGACTCGGCGGTTTGTACGGTTTGCAAGGGAGACTTTGAAACCATCATACATATACTCCGGGATTGCCCAGCTATGGCGGGAATCTGGGAGAGGATCGTGCCGTATCGTACAAGGCAGGTTTTCTTCCAATCTTCTCTCTTGGAATGGCTTTATGACAATTTGCAGGCTGACGTTGTGGTCAACAATGTCCCCTGGTCCACGACTTTTGCGATGACTGTTTGGTGGGGATGGAAGTGGAGGTGTGGTAATATCTTTGGCGAGAACAAGAGATGCAGAGATCGGGTTCGGTTTGTGACAGAGCTTGTGGCGGAGGTGTGGCAAGCTAATCAGGTGGTCCGTGGCAATACGGGCATGAGAGCAAGAACTGAGAGGCAGATTGGATGGCATGCGCCCGCTGAAGAGTGGCTCAAACTAAATACAGATGGCGCATCGCATGGTAACCCTGGACTCGCTACAGCCGGAGGAGTGATTAGAGACGGTAATGGGCAGTGGTGTGGAGGCTTCGCACTGAACATTGGAAGATGCTCTGCACCTCTAGCGGAATTATGGGGAGTTTACTATGGTTTGGTAGTGGCGTGGGAGAAGAAGATACCAAAGTTGGAGTTGGAGGTGGATTCAGAGTTAGTGGTAGGTTTTTTGACGAAGGGGATACAAGACTCACACCCTCTATCGTCCCTGGTACGTTTGTGCCATGGCTTCTTGTCGAAGGACTGGACAGTCCGCATTACTCATGTGTTTCGTGAAGCTAACCGTCTCGCAGACGGGCTGGCGAACCTCGCTTTTTCGTTTCCCCTAGGCTTTCATTTGATTGACTTTGTACCATCATCGCTTGAGTCGATCCGATGGGAAGATGAGATTGGGACTACGCGTCCGAGAGATGTAATAGTGTGGGAACTTTTTTGTTTTTAATAAATCACGGGAGATAAACAGATTTTATCTCCCATTGCCTTACCAAAAAAAAGAGATAGTCTCAGGAAATCTGAGAGACTAAATAAGAGGTGGCAGTTTATGATTGGTTGCCTTTTAATTTATTTTAAGTTTAATTTTTTTTTTTAAATATATTAATTTAAAATGTAACTGAAACTCAATCATATTAGTATTTGCAAATCAATTTTCGTGAATGGAGCCACCACGTTAACTCTCAGCCGGAATTACCAAGATGCCCTTAATGAAAATCTATTATTAAATCTTCTGAATTTCCTTTTTTAATTATTTCACAATTTCGTTTTTTATATAAAAGTTCATTATTTCCTTATTAATTTCCTTATTAAATATTGATAATTATCCTTTTCTTTTTTCCTCGATTTATATTTATCACTTAAATAAATATCCTAACTATCATATTACCGCACCACTTTTCTGGAAGAAATCAAATAATTAGGTATTTTAAAAAAACTCTAGATTTTACAACCGACTTAGTCCTATTTAACAAGCAAAATAAACAGAATTTCGTTTCTTCTTTTTCGTGTTCTAAATTCTTCGATTCCATATTTCATCTTTTGTCATGTAGGTTTATAGTTATTGCTAGATCTTAGTTGTATTAGATCTAATGTTTAACTGATTATTCGTTATTTTCTGGAAATTTTATTCAAAGAATCGCATCTAACTTCTACTTCTTTTACCTTTATAACAGTAAATTCCAGGTTTGTTAGCTAATTGAGTCAAAGAAATCAACTATGGTACCAACTCAAAAAAAATGCATTGACAAAAATTAGTGGTATGTACATCTTTCGTTTTTATTTTCAACTTAAATCTTATGAAACCCTAATTTGAATAAACTTATCTAAAAAGATTTTGTAAAATGTGGGTTTAGGTGTGCGGATTGGGGGGGGGGGTTGTTATTTGGTAGTGGTGTTACAATGTGGGGTTTGGGTTATTTAGGGGGTGGTGTTACACTGTGGGTTTGGGTTTAGGGTGTAGGGTTTATATTGATGGGGTAGGGTTTAGTTTTTGGTGTATTTTAAAAAAACTTGAATTATTACAGAAGAATTTCATAATAAAAAAATCATTTATTTGAAATTTATATCTACTTTCAAAATTACATTCACAAATAGAAAAAAAAACTAAAACAACTAAAGAAAATCCAGAATTGAAAGATAACAAAACTAATAAATTTTTAAAAGACCTCAACTATATAAAGATAGAATCTATTTCAAAAATATTGAAAATTTTAACTATCGAAATGAATTGGTAGGTGATATGCAAGACACAAACAAGACATAATAGATACATAAGTAAAAGAAAAGAAAACAGTGAAAAAGAAGATGAAAAATTTAGAAAAGAAAAAGAAAAGTCGAACATGAGGAAAAAGAAAGGAAAGAAGAAATAATGGAATGTGAAGAAAATTCCAAAACAAATGAAGAATATTACGTAGAAGAACAAGAAAGAGAAGATAAAAATAAGACACCTCAAGATTACAAAAATAAGAAGTTTGCGAAAACAAAAACGATGAATACAATAAAAAGTTGTACTACTTATATTATTTAAATCTTTAATTAATAATTGTATTTAAAAAATATTGTACCCGCACAAGGTGCGGGACAACCACCTTGTTTAAGAGTATTAGAGCATGTCCAGCCCTAATTATAAGAGATCTACCTGCTGGACATGCTCTTAGGCTCACATGCTCTAACATTTTATTTCAATATAGTTTTTCCCCTAAAAAAAATCTCAAGAGAAATATTCTTCTGCCTGATCCTAGCCCAGCGAAAGGATTAAATGAAGGGCTCAGATCACCCATCCCCTTTCTTGTTCACCGTAGACACTACCACAGGTGATCATCAACATACAAGAAGTTTGCGACGAGGAACGGAAAATCGGAATAGACGACGGAGGAGAGGCATGAAGGAGGCTGCAGCGGCGGAGCTAGAGAGACTCCAAATTGAGATCCTCCGTAGAATCTCCGTTCTCGAGAGCTCGTTCCTCCCACAGATTCCCTCGCCCTCGTCGCCTTCTCCACCGGACGATGAAAGCGAAACGGTCGCTCGCCTCTCCGCCATCCTCCGGTCCGGAGGCGTTAACGATTTCTGCTTCAAGAGAGTCGCTCCCGATTACTACGACTGGCCTCTCGAATCCCGCCGCGACGTTCTCTCCGCTTCTTCTGTCGACCATCTCTGCAAGAGCATCGTTTTGGTACTTTCAAGTTTCAACCACACTTGTTTAATGTTTTAAATTTCGAGTAGAATTTCGTATACAATGTTGATATCATATCCACCAATCCATTACCTGAATGCAGTAATTGAATCAAGGATCAGTATAATAATCTCTGTTCAAGATTGTTTAGCATACATACATGTAACAAGAAGAAAGATCAATACTTTTATTTAGATTTCATCTTGTGTTTGTTTGTTTGCTCACTAAATGCAGGTGAACACACAAGCTGCATCAAATATTGTGGATTGCAGTGATCGCAACAACTCAAAATACTATCTTGTTGTGGTTCAGGTACTCTGTGATGTTTCCTGTGTAATAGTTTAGCATTTTCACCTGTATTTCGTTTATTCACATGACCACTACTATTTGTTTCTTCTCTGTGGCAGTACTCAGCCAGATTCAACGCCGATGCAGTGAAGAGCTTTCTTTATTCACTAAACGAGGGCAAGATCCCAAAGAAAAGATTTAACCGTTAGTGCTTCTTGTTTATATGATCACGAGCTATCTATATATAAACATGTTGAAGTTTAGATTTTGGTTCTATTATCTACTGATGCTTGTGTTAATCACTGTGTAGTGAGACTTGCTCCTGAGGAGACGTCAAATAAATTGACTGGTTTTGGGCACAATGCGGTAACCTGTATAGGTATGAAGACAGACATACCGGTAAGTTTTTTAATCTATGTTTGGAGTTTGACAGGCTTTAGTGTGATCATCTCTTAGTGATTGCACATTGCTGATACAAATAGTCTTCTACACTATTAATTAGACATGTGTAAGACACGAGGACTAGTATGAGAAGAACCTCTACCCACTTGTGTTTTCTTTTTTCTCCTAGACAAACTGTTTTGTGCTGTTTTCTTTGTGTTCATAAATAGTTACAGAGAGTTTTCCCTTTCACCCACATGTGCTTGCTATGCGGTTTGCAGACATCACAGTCTATTGTCATGTCCTAATTGTCACCACAGAGGGCCTCAAGGTCACAATGCCCCAATGGGTTACACAGCTAATTTCTTGTCATGCTTGTTTAAGTGTGGTACATTTTAACACAATTTGCATTTGATACGGACCCAAAAGTTAGTTTGAGCCAGCTACTGTTTGTCTCACTCATTGTCTTTAGTATTATCCCCATTGATAGTAAAAAAATTTGAACCTCCATTTTTAACAGTTGAATACCTTTTCTTGCACTACCAATACCAGAGTTAGTAATGGGCGTCAGGCAGAGAGACTTAAATAGCGTTACGTTTGGTGATTGTGTATACATAATCTAAGGCTCGTACCCTACTGCATTGATTGAGTAGATCATGTTATCTTCCTTTTCTTATGTGGAAGTGGCCCACTACAGACAAGACACTATTTTGTTGCTACTGTGACACATCAGTCTTTCAAAATCATATTTAGACATTAGTATTAAGGAGTTTTCCCTTTTTTGGTAATTAGTTCTAATTTATTGTCTTCTCATGATTGTTGACTAAATATTTGGAAGTATTCATAGAGTTGGAAGTATTCATATTAGCTGAGATGTGGATTAAATGCTTGTTTGGTATTTGACTGGGGCTTTTGGGAAATGTCAGGTGATATTGGATGAGGCCATAACCAAACTAACCCCAGACTTCTTCTGGTTGGGCGGTGGAGAGATCGATCTGAAGCTTGGCGTAAGAACATCTGAATTTCTTGATTTTGTGAAACCATTTGTCGTTCCTTGCAGCTGAAAGCTAGAATCTGTTTAGCAAGATTCTTATTGTCATTCATCCTAATTAAACTATCAAATGTTACAATTAGATTAAGATATTGAGCTGCAATGAGGGTTTTGTACCTCTCACAGACATTAATTAGTATTCTTTGTAATGATTTTGTCAGTTACGTATTACTCACGGTACTTGGAGTTAAAATTGGCACATCCATATGACATAGAATAATTTAGTAAGAAGACTCGCCGCTTGTTTGTTCTTGAGACGAGATAAAGAGATAACAAAAGAAATTTGTCATGAAAATGTGTTATATATATATATATATATATATATATATGTAGCACAAGAGATCATTACAACCATCAACATGGTGAATGCATATGCATATAACAGTATGATATATAGATGGGATCGGTTAATTTTTAACTCTTGTGAGGGTTGTGGATGGGAGTCTTATCATGAGGACCATGATAATCATTAACCACTTCTTCCACTGTCTCGACTCCACCTAGCACACTCCTCCTTCCACCACCATTGACAACTTTAGGCGGCGAAGAAGCATCCTTGTGATGATGATTGTGAAGCCCTAGAGGACGAGCAGTAGCACATTCAACGTTGGATGACAAAAGCAGAAGAGTGAAACAGAAAACCATCACGAGTCTACACCTCACAGAACAAGACATGACTTCTTCTTTTTCTTTTTCTTTTTCTTCAGATACTATTTATGATGTGTCTATATCACTATATATAGTGAGAGATGAGAGCAGGACAAATATAGTTTGAAATGTGTGTTAACTAAGTTTTGTATTTGTTTTTTAGGGTCAAAATTTTCTTTTCAAAAACTACATCCTTTATTACGAGTCTATCACACACACTGATGAATTACCAAACCAAACAGCTCGGCCAACAAATTAGTTTATTGTTTGTCAACTTTAACAGTTTACTAATATAATATATTAATTATTCGATAGATCAAAAATTAACACAAAATGATGAGTTTGACTAATGTAAATATAAGCAAAATTTCTCAAAGATATGAGATAAACTAATAACTTTGACTATAAGCATGTATAACCAAATTTATAAGGTAATTTTATAAAATAGTATTGTTTCAAGTTTTCGAATGTTGTTTGACCCATCTTCCAAATACATTGATATGACACTGATATCTTCTAAACAAAATTTATAGTATGGAAAACAATTTTTTATTGTGTCTTTGATAAACGTTAAGAGTCGACCCGAAAATAACTCTATAAATCTGTTCTTGACAGAGGAGAAAGAGAACACAAGAAAATTTGTCACTGAAAATATATTATATATATGTAGCACAAGAATCATTACAACCACCAACATGGTGAATGCATATGCATATAACAGTATGATAAATAGAGATATATGGATCGGGTTAAATTTAAGCCTTCTCGTTGTGGATGGGAGGCTTACGATGAGGCTGAGGATAATCCATAACCACTACTTCTTCCCCTGTCTCGACTCCACCTAGCACCATCCTCCTTCCTCCACCATTGACGACTTTGTGTAGCGAAGAAGCAGCCTTGTGATGATGATGATGATGATGCTTGTGAAGCCCTAGACGACGAGCAGTGGCGCATCCAACGTTGGATGACAAAAGCAGAAGAATGAAACAGAAAACCATCACGAGTCTACACCTCACAGAACAAGACATGACCTCTTCTTCTTTTTCTTCAGATACTAAATATGATATGTCTATATATAGTGAGAGATGAAAGCAGGACAAATGTAGTTTGAAATGTGTGTTAATTAAGTGTTGTAAGAGAAGAGAAGAGGAAATAAAGAGTATTTGTAGGCAGAAGAAGAAGAGAAGAAGAAGAGAGAGTAAAGAGAGTAAGACAAGCATTGAATGCAGGTGGGGAGGGTCCTTCATTATCATAACATGCTCTTGTTCCTCTCTTCTTCTTTTACCTTCTCTCTTGTCTATTTTTCAAATATATTTTCATTCATTTCCTGCATTTATATACATACATAATATCTCAATCGTATTTGTATATTATGTGTTTCGATTGGCCAAACCTTTTGTCTACTTGAAGGTCTTCGTGGGGTCATCTGATGCATTCTCATTTCCATTTGCGCACCTTATTATTGTATCCAACTATTACGATTTCAACGGCAGTTAATTCAGATATCTAGCATGTTAGAGATGGGATGAGTACATTCCTATTTTGGTTTTTCCCCATTGGACATTTGTCTGTTAAAAAGAGAGTCCACCTCGTTGTCGAGTCAAGGAAAATAAAAGATCAAAGAGATAAGTAAGAATGCAAGAAAAAAAATGAAAAAGAAAAGGATAAACATGAAAGATTTCTTAATATTGTATGGAAAATTAAGGGTCGGACTGGTTTAAATGTTGTGGTTGTGTTTGCGGTTGCAAGAGGTTGCTGAAGCAGATGGTTTTTCTAACGGCTTATACGATTGGCATAGCGGTTGAAAACGGATGCGTTTCCGAGATACTTATAAATGGTTGACTTACAGATGCAATAGCGGTTAAATAATAAATTAACAATATAAACATATTATATAACTATAAAACATTAAAATTTTATTATATTAAACAATTATAAAATCATTGTTCAATATAACTAATACTAAAATTTTACAACATAATAATATGTGTATAATACTACATTTATCTTTTAATTTATATAATTTGGATGAAATATGTGATTTTCATTTAAAAAATATTAATGTGAAAACTAAGTTTATATTATAACTTTATTTTTTAAATTTATATATATATGTATATATTAGTTTGAATTTATCAAGAAAAATTTGAATTATAATTTTGTAAATATAAAAATTATGATATATTTTGAATGAGTATTTACTAGAAATTGCCAAATTTATTTATTTATATTGTAAATATAAGATCCAAATCTTAAATTTTTAAATTATATATCTCTGATTTTAAATAAATTTGTATTTATTTTTTATTTTATTTTTTCTAAATTCCACTCGCAAACGTTGTTGAAAATGAGCTTTTGATTATGAAGAATCTGGAGAGGTATAGAGTGTTTTGAAGTGATAGAAAGTATTTTCCATGATTGTTGTCAAATTAACCACTACCACCTCCAAAAGTTACATTTGCGGATAGGAGCGGCTGAGTAATTCGCCCCTAAGTCGAAGGAACCAACTTCCACTCTATATATAAAGAAAGATCTTCATAACTTAAATCCATCCAAAAAAATTCCGAGAGGTAGAGAGCAAGATCTATATCACAAACCTTTAGTTATTTCATTCATAATTCTTTTTCACTTCGCCACTTTCTAGCATCTTTTGTAACTCTTTGAGTTTTGATTTGATCAATAAGAAAAACCTATTCTCAAAACCCTAAACCTAATATCCTAAAATAGCTGGTTAGCTACATACTTGTAATATTCCGGTTCAACAATAATTTGTCATCACACTCCCAAATAGTCCATGACGATCACATTCTTATCAGGACACTATTAGAGACAAACGTTAACATCCATATTTATTCAGTTAAAGGGAGATGTTTTTGGAGAAAAACACTCTTAAGTTATGAATCTTTCGTACATTCAACTTTCACTTCAATGGTCAGAAACTCAGAATAACTAACCTAGTCGAAAGACACAACTGCGTCTCTATCAATGTTCCACGTGACCGGTTTGGGCCTTGAATGTGAGAATCTTTGAGTATCATAATAAATCTAGCTTAAAACTGTTAAAGAAAGAAACAAAATTAATCAATAGTAAAAGTGTAAATAAGAACAAGCCAGCATGGTCCGACCGTCTCAAGACTCTCGACTCCTCTCATCGTCAACGACAATGTGGGACCATTCTTAACATCACCGGCCGTCAAAAACCGGTTACCGACCGTGTCTGCCACGTGGCACAAACCCCTTGTGATGATGCTCTTCCTCTGTTTAGTTCTGTTTAGTTGGGCTGATAGGCTTTTGCATTTCTAACTACTACCATGACCCATGTGCCTTCACACATTACATGACATCATGCGATGTTGGCTTACAGAGAGAAGACATGAAATAAACACAATCAAGTTGTGATGATTCACTTGGAAAGTTAGTTCTCGGATTGTTTGAAAAGACTTATATACATTATTTTTATGTTTACTGTACACATTAACGTCCAACCGGAAGTTCTTAAAGGAGTACATAAGCTTGCTTAAATAATTAATAAGAAGACTGAAATATTCGGCGAAATAAGAGAGATGATGATTAAAATGAAATATCCAGCAAGAGAAGAGATCTATGAAGATCCAAACCCAAATGTGTTCTCTCCGCTGTACGTGACATAGAGGAAGCCATCATCATCCTTTTTCTCTTCGTACACAGCAGACATAAGCGCACCTGTGCAAAGTTATCAAATCAACCATTTTTTTAAGCTACTTGTTTTCATGCTCTTGTTGCTTGTAACTGTGTTAAAGATGTTATATGTTGTTTACCTGTTGGAGGAAGAACATTGTCAACGAATATGAAGATAGCCTTTTCTGCACTCAGTTTGATTCTTTTGCGAATGACATAGACGAATTGCCCCACTGTCAAATCGGCCGGGACTAGGTACCTGCAAATTTAGACATCCGGAAGAAAGCTTAGTTTATCAATCAAAATTCACAAGTCAGGTTTGAATGACAAGGAATGCTGATTACTTTTTCTTGTCGATGGTTGGTATGTCACTCTTCTCAGCCTTCTCAACAATCACCTGGATCCCACACAAAAATACAAATGTGTCTCAATCATCACTCAAGTCTCACTTTAACCATTTGAAAACATACAGCACTTATCCACATGAGTTTATGCAAATCAACCCATTAAGTCATAAGTATCACCAAGAACTTAATAAGAATCGAGCCCTAATGTTGTTAAAGAAACTAAAAATTCAAACAACTCCAAGCAGCAGTTGATACAGTGCCAAAATATATATAACAAACATGAAGCTAAATCAGACGGTTACAACTTGATAACCAAGTGCGAGTTGAGTGTACTTGTGCTATCCACAAGACCATAGGCAAAGAGACGATAAGGACATCTGTACATAGCCATTTGTTGATCAAAGATATGACTTTAAATGCTTGTAATGTAACAATGTAAAAGAGAGACACTTGAGCTCTCACCGGAATTCTATCTGGATACTTGTCTCTAATCCGAGCAGCCTCTGCCCTTCTCTTCTCTGAAGATTCAGAAAACAAAGATAATTAGATCAAAGCAAGTTTTTGATGATCGAAAGAACAAGTCTTTGAGGATGCAAACCTAGGTCATGCTCTTGCTTGAACGTGCTTTTTGCCATTCCTTACACACAACACACCTTTACATACACAAGAAACAGATGACCCCAATCAGAAAACCATCAAAACAAACTTTTACCACTCAAATCGAATCATCCAATCCCTAAAAATCAAACTCTGGAACTCAAATATCAGAATTTTCCCAAATATGCATCAAACCGAAGTAGCACTAAAACAGCAGTATTTTCATCTGACTATCAATCGATCATGTCTCTCATACCGCGATTCACATGAATTCAGCGACTAATATCTAAAATCCCCAGAAGATACATGAAATTCAGAAACCCTTTTTGTCTCAGTATACAGATCAATTAAGTAGATTAATCTAAACCAAGTACGAAATCGCAATAAGAATCCATGATTATCAAACCTGCTAAAGACGAAGACGAAGCTTTTTTCGGCGATCAAATCAAACACTTTCCCAGAGCTCAACGCTATCGTTGAAGAAGATAACACAAATTAGCAAAGAATATCCAAGAAAAAAAAAATCGATATAAGCAACCTCTGCACAAGAATCTGCGGAGCATTTAAAAATTATGTGATAAAGGAAAAGATCATATACAGTTAGTGCATGGTAACATCTAAACTCCTCTGCTTACGTGGTATGCTTCAAAAAGAACCAGGCGGTACACGCGTTAAATTTAGACGAGAACGGAAATCGAAACCGTCCAATGTATTGACGGTGTACGTAGGATCCGTGCACTTTAATATTGCTTCCCAAGAAAAAGGATAAAGAAGTATCGGATATGCCGGGATCACGTTTCTACATTGGACATGACGTATTTACCCCTAGCAACTACGTGGAAGACTCAAGAGTAAGGAAGGGTAACCAGTGTAAATTTGAGATTTTAGCCTCTTGGGCCTGACGAATAAATAGAATGATTGAGAAGGCCCATTAAAGTCATCGTCATTTGACCTGAAAAGTCAGAAACTTTGAGCCGGAGAAGAAGAAGGAAGTAGAGAGGATGAGCGTAATGAAGAGCTGTTTCGTGTTCATGATGGGAACGGCTTATGGAGTATACGTCGCGCAGAATTACAACGTTCCAGATATTAAGAAGCTCACAAACACTGGTCTCGTCATCGCCAAGCACATCGAGGAGAATTATCGGAAACCCAAGAAGGACGATGTGAATTGATCGGGAAATTTGCCAAATTTCAATCGGTTCTTTTATATTCGTTCAGAAATTACACTCGTTTTTGGTGCGGGATTTGATTATAGGATTGGTTATGATAGCTGATTAGGGCTTATTGTTGGTTTGATTTGAGAATTGAAATATTGTGGATCGTGATCAAACCTTTGTATACAGAAGTGAGATTTTTGAGTTTTTTTTTTTTTTTTTTTTTTTATTTTAGTGTGACAAATTCGGATCATGGAGGAGCTAATTGGCTTCC